AGAGAGAGAGAGAGAGAGAGAGAGAGAGAGAGAGACGTCACGTATTAATTCGGTGCCAATACTATCGTGTTAAAAATAAACTAAAGACCTCCATGAGAAGTTACTTAACCAACCACACGCATCCAGGGTTTCCACTCTTTGAGGCGCCACATTTGAATAATCATGTCGTCATACATTTGTAAGACGATTTGACTATAATAGTATTGTTTTGTGAATGAGTCATTGAAATTTAATTTTTGTGACTTTTACTCATTGGCGTCTGTTATAATCATCAGCGCATATAGTCTACTGTTTGCCATAATCTGTTTTCGATAAATGATAAGGAGACATTATATCAGTTATTTTTTTCTAAAATTATGTAATGCAGTCGAATCTGTCCACAACGATTGCCTTTTGTTGAGGAGAAAAATAGTCTTCTTAAACAGGTGCTCCCCTAGGTCAGTGTCATTACCTCCCCTAGGACAGTGTCATTATAACATCGAAAAAAAAAAGGTGAAGTGGGAAATGGTCGTTTGTATTGGTGGTTGTCTTGGACAGGTAGCTGCTATTGCATATTGGGATCCATAGGTATGTTAAATATAACTATTAAAAAAAATAATTTTACAGCTATATTGCGCTCAAAATTGTTTACGAATTTCTGTCTCGGGGTTGAATAGACATCACCATGAAACTGAGGCTGTATTTGATATGCTCACCGTTTTCTCTATGAAACTGCGATATTAATCTATGAAAACTTTAAACGTACAGACCAACAGTAAAATGTCACTCAATTCATTAACGAAAGAAATACGTGTGGGAGGACAACAAACGGAGAGAAAAAGTCTCAACACCTGCACTTGAGATTCGAAAGTGGATGACTTGAGGAAAAAAGCCAGCTGATGTCTTTGTGGATCAAAAACCTCCCCCGCAACCCAACTATTCTGAAAAAAGACCACATGAGCAGCTAGCTAGATCATTAACTCTTAGTTTGCGGAAGGCAACAGCCTGTTTTTTCATCCAAGTTTTCAGAATCACAAACTTTCGTTTAACTATGACCCAACTAAACTTATTTGCACAAAATATACACCGAACTGAGAGGAAATGAATTATCCAATTAATAATAAACATGAAGTCTGATTGTCATGTAGGTCAGGTGGATTGGCTGGGGTTTGGTAAATTTTAGTTTTGACTGTAACTGACCAAGCGAAGCCGTGAACCAGTTGAGTGGGTGGCTGGTGGGTGCTCTGGTGTGGTTTGCTCCTCCTTTTCCTTTCAAACTTTTATTGTCCTTAGCTCCTTAGTCGAACTGTCGCGCCGTATCCTTAGAGTTAATGGCAAAGTGGAAAAAGGACGCGGAGCGCGATGCTGGACCATAGACTTGAATTGTGATCTTAGACCGAGCACTGTCATGGCTGCCTCTCTTTGCGCTCTGTGAGAACTTCTCTGAGATGGTTTGCCCCATGGACATGCAACTGAAAGGCAAAACATGCTTTTTCTGCTCTATCAAAATCGTAAGACTTTTTGGAGTTGTTATCAAGATATTCAAAGAGTTACATTCGATAAAGCTTGAAATATTTTGAAACTCAAATTTTGTTTACGTCAAATTTCTCAAAATTAGGCACTGAGCAGTTAGAAATTTGAATATATATTATGTAATTTTAAAGTAGCTACTTATAGTTGAGTACATGCACTGCTTTACCCTCTTCGCCTTTCTTTTGGTTCTAAATAGAGTAAAATGGTTTGCTCCATAGTGAACAAGAATTACGTCAGAGTACACAGTCTAGGCTACTATTGAAAGTCTATGTGCTGAGTTAACAATCAAATTTATCGACTCTATAAGAAGACAATACAGCATAAGGTAAGTAAATGTATGTTAGGGTAGTACATATTTTATTGATCGTTCATTGGAAGAAATTAAGAGTGTGTTTTCACCAATTTCCTTGAAATAAAATAAATTGGATTGCACCATGTCAATATAATGTATCACATACACAAGGGAATTCAAACGTACGTATGCGCAAACACACACACACACACACACACACACACACACACACACACACACACACATACACACGCACAGAGCCATACCCGAACACATACACACAGACACGCGCACACACAAATCAGGTAAACAGTAGTTGTGCATATCAAGCTCAGAAAGGTTCAGTTAGGACCAAAGAGGAGGAAACATTATTCGCTCAATGTATTTGAGCGTGAATGAACTTGTATGCGTTTTTGCGTGCGTAATTATGCGCGTGTATTTGTGTGTATGTGTGTATATGTGCATGAGTGAGTGTATGTGTGTGTATGTTTGTATGTGTGTGTGTGTGTGTGTGTGTGTGT